GGGCAGGGCCTATRTGCCCAGCTACTCCGGAGGCTGAGGCAGGAGAATCACAAGCTGGAGGCCAGCCTGGGCAACTTAGGGAGAGGTTGTCTCAAAATAARTAAAATAGGGGATGGGGCGTGGCTTAGTGGTAAGGCTCTTGCCGAGTGTGTGGAAGGCCCGGGGTTCTCTGGTGGGGGCAGAGGGGTGGAGGCAGCAGGAGGGGCCAACAGGAGGGGCAGAGTAGGCCTCAGGGGCATCTGCTGGTGCCACAACTGGAGGAACGCTAGACCTGGTGGACAGATACTTGAAGAAAGTCCTCGCCCCCCAAGTGGGCTCAACAATCTCCCCAGGAAAGGTTGAGCTGAAAGTTTTGAGGGGTTTTTGGTGGCAGGGGTCTTGAGAGCAGAAGGGTTGGTTGGCCAGTGAATCAGGGACACCTCACCTCCCACCAGACAGCCCCAGGGGCCAGGGCTTTCCCAGCTGCTCAGGGGCTGGCCTGGCGGGAAGGAAGGACACCTCCCTTGTACAGGATCCCAGAAAGTCTCAGCCAATGCCAAGGTAAGAGCCAGGGTGAGGCCTGGGGGCCAGAACCTAGGGCTGCTGGTAGTGTAGAGGGGAGTGGGCCCTTTGGGCCTGTGGCCAAAGACAAGAGGGCTGGGTTCCCTCTGCACTTGGGTGGGAGAGCAGGAAGGCTGCTGGGTGAACAGGGAAGGGCTGGGCAGGAGAGGTGGCTCAGTCGGGGCTCTGTCCTGCTTGGGGGTGTGGAGCAGAGGTGGTATCCTAGGCCTGTCTCCCATCTTTGYTTTAGGGGAACCCCTCCTGTGGGTGCCTGGTCCTGTTCTAGAAGTTGCTGGAGGGACAGCAGCCCAAAGCCTCTGCTAGTACCACCTCCAACCCTCTCCCTCCTGCCTTGTGCCCCCAGGTCAGTCCCAAGGGCCTGGCTGCAGGCCTGTCCACTTCTGCAGGAAACATTAAGTCCCTGAGACACAGATCTCACCGAGCTCCAYTTCCGCACAGCTCCCACAGCCAGCCAAGGTCACCTGCAGGGCAGTTAGCCCCCGGAGACTAGCAGCTGGGTGCCAGGAGGCTGAGACCACTGGAGCTGGTCAAGACCTGACATTCCATGGTCACCTGTGCACACCTACCTCTGGTGTACACACATTCCCTGAACATGCCACATTTGTCATACTGTCAAAATAAGAGCCAGCCAACCTCACTTCTGCTTATGCCAAGTCCTGGCTGAAGCATGTTATAAGAATCAGCTCACTTGGGGCTCTGGATGTAGCTCAGCAGAAGAGTGCTTGCCTAGCATGCACAAGGCCCTGGATTTGATCCTAAAATCTGTAGGGAAAAAAAAAAAAAAAAAAGAATTAACTATTCTTCCAACACCCTCCATGAAGTGGGTACTGCTATTGGACCCAGACAGGCTGAGTGATGTGCCCTGGGTCACACAGCTGTGGCTCACAGAGGGGGGATTTAAACTCTCGGCTGCCCAGCCCCCAGGCCCCTGCTGTGGCCCATGATGCGCTCCCACCCAGAGCAGACTTGCTCTGCCCCTGCTCTGCAGCACCTGCTCCCAGGGCCTGGGTGGCTTTCACTGCCTCCTCCCTGAGGCTGCTGCTGTCTTTATTCCCCCAAAGGAGAGGAGGGGGCTGGAAAGACCGTTCCTGAGCCACTCCCAGTTCTTCAACCCCGGACCCACCCACACCCACTTCTGGGAAATCACCTGGTGCCAGCTCTGAGAGGTTGTAAAATTAGGTTTAATTGGACCCCACAGGGCACAAGAGAAACAGCAGAAAAAAGGGGTCTAGTCCAGCTGGTGTCCCTGGAACTGTGCCAAGACTTTGAGGGATGGAGTGACAGGAGGAAGTAGCCTTGGTTTGTGTGTCTGTAAAATGGGGGAAATTATGGTCCTTTCTTGATGCCAGACACTGGGAGCATAAGGSGCCTGGTGTTGGAGGAGCTTCGGATCCAGGCCTGGGGTGCAATCAGACGGCAAAGATGTGTTACATTCTTCTCTTTTCCTGAAGGTGTTTCACTGGCCCTAATAATATCCAGATAGAAGGAAGGGACTCGACAGTCTGGCAGCCATGAGGCGCCAGCCTGGAATTCACCAGGGTTGGCTGCTGGAAGACTCCTCCCCGCCTCACCTCCGCTGCTCCGGAGTTGTTTATCTGGGCTGGGGTCCCCAGGGTGGCTCCAAAGGCCCTGGAGCCACCTTCGAATAAACAATCCCTGGCCTGGTCCCAATTAAGTCCCAATTAAGCTGATGGCTGCTGGTTCTTTAGGCAGCAGGAGGGTTGCAAGCTCTAAGATACCTGCACGTGGCTTGGAAGCCGCCGCCCGGTTTACCTCCGCGCGGTGCAGAAGGACCCAAGCTCAGGCCCCTGGTAGGATCTGCCACTTGTAATTAGATGGCTTCGGTTTCTTCATTTGTAAAGTGGGCCCTAGAGTTTGATACAGCCCCGAGGGGCGTCGCCTGGGGCGATGGGCTTTGAGGCAGGACCCGATGTTTAGGCCTGTCGGTGGCGGCGACTGGTTGGAGGTTCGCGATCCGCTCAGGGCAGACATGAAAGTGCGAGCTTCGGGGTAGTGGGGGCTCTGCTGTGAGGGGCCCGGCCTGCCCGAGCCCCTCTGGCGCGGCCGGAAGAGCAGGGTGGGCGAGGCGCGCCCCCTGCCGGTCGCCCCTTGCCGCTTCCCGCTGAGCCCAGCTGCAACCACACTGGACACCTGGGTCTCCCCAGATGTGAAACTAACACCTCCCGGCGGGACGAAGCGAGCGGACAGAGGCTGTCGGGGAAAGGCGCGGTGTCTGAAGTCTTAGCATAGCCGAGGGAAGGGATTCTTGGGCTTGGGAGTATTCAGCGACGGACCTCAGCCTTCTCTGTAAAGGGGGTCAGCCACGCCTGACCGCCTCAGGGACGCGGGGAGCCGCACAGCTCACTCCCTCCTCCCCCGCAGTGGACGGTTGCATTCACCGGGCCGCCGGACCCCTGCTCACCGACGAGTGCCGAACCCTGCAGCACTGCGATACCGGCAAGGCCAAGATCACCAGTGGCTATCGACTGCCGGCCAAGTGTGAGTCCCTGACAGGCCACAGCCTTGGGGCGCAGCTAGGGCACCTGTGTGGAAGTGAGCATGAGGGGGTGCGGTCTCCCAGCCGCAGGGGGCACTTCTTAAGTGCCAGGGCCTGACCCTTTCTCCAACATCCCAGGCAGCAAGAGCTGGGGGACAGCAGGGGCCTGAAGGGAGGGGGAGGCATCTTCCCCCACTCTGCGCCCAGGTCTCAGTGGGCGTCCACACAGACATGGGCGTAACGCGACACGCTTCCTGTGGCCACTGAGCTATGGGCGTGCGGGTCAGCGCGCACGTGTGGACTCGGACCCTACCCATGTGCCCTCAGGGTGGGGTCCTCTGGGAGTCTCAGAAGTTGGGGGGAGAAGGCTGTTTCCTGACCCCCTGCAACCCAGGCCGGCAGCGGGAATGAGCGAGCTCTGGTCGGAGCGGAGACCCCGGCCCGGCTGACCCTGTTGCCCCCTGCAGACGTCATCCACACGGTGGGGCCCATTGCCCACGGGGAGCCCAGCGCCAACCAGGCTGAGGAGCTCCGCAGCTGCTACCTGAGTAGCCTCGATCTGCTGCTGGAGCACCGGCTCCGCTCGGTGGTGAGGGTCGCCAAGCGGCGGAACGGGGGCGGCCCGCGGGAGGAGGCTGGCAGGAAGTGGGGTGCAGAGTGATGATGTCCCCATCCCCTCTCCCCCCCCCGTCCCAGGCGTTCCCTTGCATTTCCACCGGCGTGTTTGGTGAGTGGGGTCTGGAAGAAGAGGGGAGTGGGAAGTGGACTCCCACACGCAGGGCGCGGCGGGGAGTGGGCGGGCCTAGACACAGGGGGCGGGGAGAGCCAGAACCTGGACTCACCTGCCCCGCCCCGCCCCGCCCCCAGGCTACCCCAATGAGGCGGCGGCCGAAGTAGTTCTGGCGGCGCTGCGCGAGTGGCTGGAGCAGCACAAAGACAAGGTGGAGCCTGGGCCCCGTGGAGTGAGATGGCGGGCGCTACCCACAACACCGCCCGGCTCACCAGCCCCACATTGGAGCAAGGGTGCTGAGCGTAGGGCCAACCSGGTCGTGCCAGCCCTCTTTGAGGCCTGTTTCTTCGTGGGTAGCAGCGAGAAGGGAGTGGCGGGAGCACAACCCCAAGCCCTTTCTATAGAAGGCTCAGTGTGAGCTCTATAGTCAGGACCATAGGAGGGGACACCCCCAGAGCAAGGCAGGTAAAAACCTATAGGGGGCCGAGCAATAAGACAGGCTGAACAACCCTTTGACGCAGGTGGATCGGCTGATCATCTGCGTATTCCTTGAGAAGGACGAGAACATCTACCGGCAGCTGCTGCCCCACTACTTCCCCGTGGGTACGTGCCCCGYGCTGCCCCAAACCAAAGGCGCCTACCCCACGGCCAGCCCTGCCCCTCCCCTCTCGGCTCTGGGCTGGGCTCTCACTGTCCTCTGCCTTCCAGCCTGAGGCTCCCCGCAGCCCAGCCTGAGCAGGACTGGTAAGCAGGGCCTGGCCCCTTAAGGCTGCCCTACACACTAACCTATCACTAACACCTGCTCAGCCTCTACTGGGCTCACCCCCAGGTAGGGAGGAGGGGAAACCAGGGCGATTGAAGGCCTCAGCTTCTTGACCTCTCTCCTCTGCCTTTAGACCTGTCCAGGCCTGCAGGACCTCGCTCCCAGCTCTGAGAGGTAGCTGAAGCCTGCGGTCTGGGCCTGGGCAAGGCCAAGCTGTTCTTTCCTTCAGTTCCACACCCCACCCCGCTCCCCCCTCCCTGCCCCTAAGGAGCCTCTTAATAAAATGACTATTTCAGCTCCCAATGTCTGAGCTCTGACTGTTCTGGGGCTGGATCATGGGAAGCCAACCCAAAATGGAGCCCCAGTCAGGCGCTTTTGGCTTATAGGGACTGGCAAGAGCTCTTGGTGAGCCAGGCGGGTGRTGGAGGCACGGGCTGGACAGCGAAGGCGGCAGCAGCACTTCACATTTATTGAGGGCCTGCCCCCAAGGAGCTCACAGCCTGGGGCTGAGACCCCACATGTGCTGGGGTGGGTGAAGAAGAGAAGCGAAGGCAAAAGGCAGGCAATGCAGACACTGGCCCAAGCAAAGAGGGTGCAAAGCAGGCGCAGGCAGGGGGCCTAGAGGCGGGGAAGAGTGGGGAACTGGCAAGCCCTGCCTAGACCTGAGGACTGAAGGCCACTCCTCCCGCAGCAGGCCGGTGCCCCCTCCGCCACCTGGCCTGGGCCAGTCTCATCCTATGAGCCCTCTCTGCCCAGGACTCTCCAGTCATGCAGATCCCTGGTGGAGGGCACAAGACTGGGGTCTGGGGCCCTGGCCAGGACARCAAGGTGGAAGCCAGAGACCTAGGCAACTCCCAGAGAAACATCCACAACTGGAAGTGTGGAAGCGGAAGGGGGAAGGGGGAGGCCTTAGAGAGCACACAATTCCAAGCAACCAGGAGGGTCCCCCAGGAGGCCTAGCCCCCTCAAAACTGCTCCTGGTGAGAAAGCTTGGGGTTGGACAGGTAGAAAACTGGGGGACCCACCTGAGGGAAGCGGGGCAGCCAGACACACAGCAGCCAGTGGGCAGGCAGCAGCAGGGACACGCACACACGCAGCTTACCACCAGCATCCCCTTTAATAAAACGTGGAAGGTTGTGTGACAGGAAAAGGGAGGGAGTGAAGTATGACCATTTACAACCACAAAAAAAACCTCTGTACATGTCTAGGGCCTGGCAGAGGGGGAGGCAGGCAGGGCAGTGGCAGGCCAGCCAGCCCTATTTGTAGAGGATATCGTAGTGTCCAGGCCGGTAGAGAAGGTAGACCTTGGGCTCAGAGCCCTCAGGGAAGACGTGCGGGTTGGTGGTGCCACCCTCACCACGGTCCATGTACTCCACCTGGATGGACACGCTAAGGGCCTGCGCCAGCGCGATGATGTGGATGTGGTCACTCTCCTTGCACATGGGCTCCACCTCCTGCAGCACAGGTACTGGTCAGGCCCTTCCCAGCACCCTTCCCCAGGACCCGTGGGCCCTAGTGCACTCCCACCCCCTTGGCACCTGCCACCCTGGGGCAACAGACAAGGGATGGTCCCCAGTGGGAGGGGGCTTGGCACCTGCTGACAGAACTCCTTGACAGTCCGCCCACCCTCGATGAAGTGCTCAAAGAACTTGCTCTCCCGCTGCAGGTAGCCTGAGGTGAGCAGCCGTAAGTAGACCACAAGGTAGTCCGAGGTGCTCTGGTCGTTGAAGGAGGCCAGGAGGTCAGCTACTGAGGTCTGCTTCTCCACCTGCTCGATCAGGTCCATGAACTGCCCCCATGGAGGGAAAAAGGGCAAGGTGAGGGAGGAGGGGGTCAACCCCACCCAACCAGGCCAACCACCCTCCATCTTGGCTCAGCTTGAGACAGGTGCAGAGCTCACCGTATTGTGGAAATCCTCAATTGTGAACTCAGTGAAGCCCTGTGACACCAAGTCCTCTTTGCTCTTGGCAGACACAGCCTTGAACCTGTGGGTAGGAGCGGAAGAGCTCCTCAGCCAGCAAATCAGGGGCCCAGGCCRCACTGTCCAGGCTCAGACAGGCCACCCTCACCCCAGCTCAAAGGGAAGCCCCCAGCAGGAGTCCAGCCAACCACCTGGTCTAAGGTGGAACCGTCCTCCTATCCCTCAGGAGGGAAGAAGGTGCCCACAAGCTTTGCCCTCTGGTGCCCACGCGCCACCCTCCTCACCGCTGCAATTCCTTGCTGTCATCCAGCAGTGCCTCCAAGTGGGAGAATCCAAAAGCTCGATAGAAGCAGTTGCCATCAGGCCTGGTCTTCCGGATATATGAGTACTTTTTGTGCAGGTCCTGCAGAGAGGCAGCCCCCCCCCCCCGACCCCTCAACATTTGCCCAGACTAGGGCTAGCCCAAGAAATGGCCCCAACAAAGGTCACAACACAGCAGATGGCAACTAAGCTCCAAGAAGCCACTCCAGGCTGCAGAATGGATGAAGGGAATCACTGCCCAGTGACTCAGGAAGCTGTGCTCTTATGTACAAACTAGCTGCCTGGGTGGCCAAAACTGCTGCCAGCCACTGGCCAGGCCACACAGCTGGGCTACAGCATTGTTTATAAAAATGCACAAGGTCAATGCTTACCTAGCATTTGTGATACCCTGGGTTTGATCCCCAGCACCAGGAAAGGAAAAAAATAAAAAAAAAGGAGAGGGACTGTGTGTGGCTCAGAGGTAGAGCTCTTGCCTGGCAGATGCAAGGCCCTGGGTTCCATCCCCAGCAACATGCGGGCACACACAGATGATAAAATTAAAACACTAACATGCAGGAGAGTGAATCTGTCTTTGATAATGCAACTTTTCCAGTCTTTCATCCAAGAGACCTTCAGGGTAAGCAGATCAGGGCAGGGGTACAGTGGCAAGTACCACGCCCCAGCCAGGTGTCCAAGGCCCGCGGCACAGTCCAGCTCAGCCTAATTGAGAACGGTTTTCTCACCTAAGCCTTTCCACAGTCCTCTGGGGTTTAAACAACCTTCCTTGTCTATTTCTAGCTTCTACCTGCCTACTCACAGGTACCATCTCCAGTCAGCCTTTTTTTTTGGCAACGGGGAATTGAATCCAGGGGCACTCAACCACTGAGTCACATCCCCARCCCTTTTTTGAATTTTATTTAGAGACAGGGTCTTGCTGAGTTGCTTAGGGCCTCACTAAATTGCTGAGGCTGGCTTTTAACTCTTGATTCTCCTGTCTCAGCCTCCCAAGCCTTGGCAACTGGCTTCCATTCAACTTTTCCACTTTCCTCCCCAAAGGGAGAGAGACTTCTCTTATACTTCCCCACCACAGTGGCTACCAGCGCTTCCTAACCAACAGGCCTTGCTCCTCTGCTTTAGTACTCTCTCCTCCCACCTCAGTCACTTTTAAACTGAGAACCTCCTCAGCCACCACAGCGTACCCACTGCCTTCTCTCCTGATCTCTCCCATCTGTCCCTCAGTCCTAACTGCTACCTGAACTGCCCCTCCACTCCACACAAGCCTGTTCCCTCTCTAGTGCTCAAGGACATTGTTCCAGGAAGTCCTCTCTCCTYCTGCATCAAATCATCTCTCCCAACAAGTTTAGACCCATCAGCAGAAAACACCTAGTTATGTCTTGCTTTAAAAAAGAAAAATCTCAAGCTGAGAACAGGGGCACACTCCYATAATCCCAACAGCTCGAGAGGCTAAGGCAAGAGGATCACAAGTTCAAAGCCAGTCTCAGCAACTTAGTGAGGCTCTAAGCAACTTAGCAAGACCCTATCTCTAAATAAAATATAAAATGGGCTGGAGATGTGACTCAGGGGTTAAACCACCCCCAGGTTCTATCCTTGGCACCAAAAACAAAACTAAAATGTATGTCTGTAATCCCAGACAGGAGGATCACAAGTTCATGGCCAGCCTCAGCAATACAGCCAGGCTCTAAGCAATTTAGCAAGACCCTGACTCGAAATTAAAAATAAAAAACAGGCAGGGGATGTGGCTCAATGGTTGAGCACCTCTGGGTTCAATCGCTGTTTCAAAAAAAAAAAAAAAAAGGGGCAAAATCTCTTTTGACTTCAGAGTGCTCTCCAGCCATCACTCTTGTCTTKGCTCCTCTGCAGCAAAACTACTCATAGCATTGTCCCTGCTCAGKCAGCTCACCTTTCTGTGAGAGGACTTTGCTCCAGCCAATGTCACAAAAGCCCTCCTAGTTTGGAGGATCAAATCTGGCCCTCCCCAGACTGGCCTCTCCCAGCACTACCCCCACACCATGCCCTCCACATGGGCACTTCCCCTACCTGGCTGGGGGACGCTGCACCCTCTCCTCCCTGCAGGCCGCCCCTCATCCCTCTGCACTCTGAAGGGCAGGGCTTCCAACAAACCTGTAGTGCCCTTCCTCAAGACACACGTGGCACCTGCCAGAAAAGGGCCATAGGAATGCCTGGTGATGCCCTGGGATGGCTTCCACCTTTCAACTCTTTACATTTGCTGGGTGACATCAGTGTTGACAATCCAAGCAGTCCCAAATGTCAATCTTTACCCACCAGCTCCACTTCTGCCCCTTGCTTCCCCCCTCCCTTTTTTTTTTTTTTGGTACTGGGGATTGAACCAGGGTGCTTTTTATTTTTATATGGTGTTGAGGATTGAACCCAGTGCCTCATGCATGCTAGGTATGCACTCTACCACTGAGCCACAACCCCAGTCCCCAGCCCTTTTTGTCTCATTCATTCATTCATTTATTTATTTTTGGAACAGGGTCTCACTAAGTTGCCAAGGCTGGCCTCCAACTTGCAATTCTCCTGCCTCAGCCTCCCAAGTCATTGGGATTACAGGCATGAGCCATTGTGCCCAGCTCCCCAATACCTCTCTGAATTGTCTAACTGGCATTCAACCAACAAGTCTGTCTCAACCTCACACCAACCTGCTCCTCACCTAGGCCCCCCGACTTCAATCACTTCAACCTTGTGGCTCTGCTACAAGAGCCTTGTGGCTCACCTATCTCCACCTTCAGGTTCTTCCCTCACTGCATCTCTAGCCAACCATTGTCACTGCTTACCTGGACCACCTGGGTCTAAGGCACTCTGGCCTGCTGCAGGTTTTACTGCAAAAGCCTCCTTGAAGCACCCCCTGCCTGCACGCACACACAGTGCCAAGCCCTCTGCTGAGTGCTCATGATCATCATCCTAGACTCCTCCCACAGGCCCATTCTGCAGAGGAACCAAGTCTGCACCCAGGTCCACATGGGCACTTCTGTTACCACCCTGTCTCTCTGCCCAGGGAGAAAAGGTGGTCTTGGCCATAGCACACAGAATGGGGTATCAGAATGGGACRTTAAGGTGCATTCCTGTGGATAGCTGGCTCTGGACATTCAAAACATTTGCTGAATGACTCAGTGGGAAGAATCCAAGGACCATCCTGTCCTTACCAGAGTGGCCTAGTATGGCAGATAGGCCAGGAAATGGGGACAGCACTCCACTCACCCACGACATAGGAGAGGAGGAGCCTGCTGCTTCCCAGCCTCACTGAGCAGTAGCACTGACTTGACCAGCATCTGATCAGAATCTCCCTCCAGCCAGAGATTAGCAAATAATTGAAGCTCCAAGTTCAGTGCATTGCCCAAGGCCACACAGATGGAGTGCAGAGGTCACAAGAAGAACCCAGGTGTACTGGCCTCCTAAGGCAATGCCTGCATCTYCCCACGGGCCTCTTGGGGAAGCTACCACACCCTGAGCAAAATGTATAAGCAGATCTCAGACCACACACAGATGGATCTGGCCCTCAGGTAGGTTATTTGACCTACTTTTTTTGGTGCTAGGGACATAACCTAAGGCCTCACATATATATACATCCTAGGCAAATACTCCAGCACTGAGCAATACCCCAGCCCCACAGATTTAAAGTCTGAATTAGCTGCCAACTGTTAGAAGTCAGGAGATTTCATTATTTCTGGCTTCTCTGGCAACAGTGGAGTGACAGTCCGAATACTCCCTGTCACAGTCTGGCAGCTTGTGAACCGTGGTGCCTTCAATGTTCACCAGCTTCAATCATACCTGCCTGGCCTCTGGCAGGCGCCTTCTCCAGGTGGAAGGGTCTAAGCATCTCTGATCTTTGGAGAGCGTGAGAAGAGTAACATTTACTAACTCTGTGCTGAGCCTACTAAATGCTGTTTACACACCCACTCTCACACTTCAACCAAGGTGGGTGGTAAAGCAGCTTGCCTATTTTGAATGATGCTGCAGGGCCCTGTGTAGAAGCCTGTGGCCCTGCTTCTCTACCACTGCCCACTCTCCACAAATGTCCAGGAGGTGGGCAGTGGGGCACATCCCTATGCAGCCCTCCTGCCCTGCTCAGCACCAGCCTGGTCAGCCCCTCAGTAGGCATGAAGATGGCTGGCTCCTGCCCAGCCTGTACTTGGCYCCACAGAGCAACACCTCCCTCTACCTCAAAACCACCCTACAAGTAGATGCTTTCACTATCACACTATTTTTTTTTCCTTTTCTTTTTTGGAACTGGGGATGGAACCCACAGCTTTGTGCGTGCAAGGCAAGCACTTTGTCAGCCCTCACTGTCCCTATTTTACAAATGAAGATAGTCATGTACAAAGATATGGAGGACCTGCCAAGGAGATAGCTGCCAAGTGGCAGTGTGGATTTGAAGAGATATCTTTTTGAGTCCAGAGCATGCACACACTAGCACTGACAGGTGTTCCTCAATACCCTATCCTCTCAGAGACCAGGTTGAGCAAGGAGCATGACTGAAGCAGGCACCCTCCTGCCCCCTCCAGCCAGGCTCCCACCTTGATCTTCTGTTGGTAGATGTTGTCATCCTCAGCATACTCCTTGTACAGGACGGAGAGCTCCAGCCGCTCCGACACCAGAGGGTTCTGCACAGCAATCTGCAGAAGGCAGGAACCCATCATGCTGTGGCATGGAGATGCAGTGACCCACGCCTAACAACCAGAACATCTACAAAAGGGGAGCTAGGCTGATAACCCAGTGGTACAGTAACCCCATAAAAGCATCCAGCACAGCTTAGAAAGGAATGGGATTCTGAAGTACAGATAGATAACAGACCTCAGGCCTAGTCTATTCATCCACATGATGGGGTCACCAGCCATCCCTCCCACCCTCGTTAGCCCCTCACCTCTTGCTGAATTCGGTCCTGTTGCGCCATGATGGCTTCATCATAGGCCAGGCAGTTAACGCCTAGAAAAGGGGAAAAAAAAAAAAAGGATTACTATAGGTCCTGGTATCTCCGCTGCAGGTTGCTGGGCCAGGAACAAGCACAGCCCAGGAGCAGAGAAGCAGGTTTAAAATCTGGAAGCAAGTGTCTTACGCCCTGCTCCACCCCACTGTGTAATCTTGGCAATGTCCTTCCCCTTCTGGGCTTTCATTTCCTCGTCTTTAAATTGAGAGGATAGCCAGGCATGATAGGACACACCTTTGGTTCCAGCTACTGGGGAGGCTGAAGCAGGAGGATCACTTGAGCCCAGGAATTTGAGACCAGCCTGGCCAAAATAATGAGACCCTATCTCAAAAAAAAAAAAAAAAAAAAAAGATGGGAGCATAGAGCTTGCATTTGCCTAGCATGTGTGAGGTCCTGGATCCAATCCCCAGCACTGCCAAAGAATTAGAATAAAAATAAGGGAGAAAAGTAATCATTCCCCACAAGATTCACTCTTCCTGATGATTCTAGCTTCCTCCCTGCTTTCTAACATCACTTCCCAGCAGACCGGGAGTGCTCTGGCGTGGAGAGGCCTCTTGGGGAAAGTAAGATGAGGAGGTGGAGTCCTGAGCTAGATGGGAGCTTTCTGTGAGCCTGCTCTTTACCTATCACACTCTTCCTCTTCCTGCTAGCCTAGGTATCCTTAAGGGTGCCCATTTTACAAATAACAAAACAACTGTGCAAAGGTGAATAATCTGCCCAATAGTAAAAAGCTGTGGTCAAATCCATATTTATGATTCTAGTCTAAGCTGTTCACAACATTTCTCCTCTACCAGTTCACTACTGAGCCCTTTACTCACCCATGAAATAGGGCTAACACTACCACCTTCCTCCAAATATAATATTATGGTATTCACCATAGCAGGTGGTACCTAAGAGTACTGTGGAGTCATCCAAGGGTTGAACAGGTCTACTATGGGGACCCCACTCTAAGTAGCCGTTGGGAAGGGGCCAGGAGACCCAAATTCTAGTTTTGACTCTGCCTTATGTGATCTATACATATATGTGACTATAGGTGATCCTGAACAAAGCCCTTCTGGGGGCCTGGGTTTGCCAGTTCTCAGTTCCTCAAGTGTGCAGGTGGAGTGGGGTTTGAGTATGCGCTGAATGACATTTAAGGTCAATCCTTTTGGACCAGCTCATCCCAGGTTCTTAGCTGGGCCAGKCCCATGCCCCAGAGCAGAGCTGTCCCCCACACACCCTTGTGACCTACTCGGCCACAAGGGCCCAACTTCTGGGTAGAAAAGGAGAGGGTGTGGCTGTTTTTGGAAAGTTCTAAATCCTTCAGGGTCTACGAAAACAATGCCTACGCAGGCAGAAGAAGTCCGAAAGGCCAGAGAGGGGGCTCTAGGGAGAAAGCTGCCCGAAGCCCCAGGGGCAGACACTCGCAGCCCCGCGCCAGCCTGCACGGCCAGCCTGGTCCTTCGTGGTCTGCAGCCCCGCGTCACTACGAGCCTCCAGACGCGGGCTGCTCTAGAGAGGACAGAAGACTCGGCCCCGACCTAGGCCTCGAGCAGACTGCCAAGACCAGGGCATAGAGGCTCGGGGCCCAGAGGCTCAGGCCCGGGAGTCGGTGCCGGGAGCCGAGGGGCTGGGCGGAGGGCGGGAYGGCGCAGGCCCCGCCCCAGGCGTGCGCGAGGGAAAAGAGCCGCGGGCCTCGGTCGGCCCCGCCCGGCCGGGGGTCGCGGCGTCGGCTTCTTCCATTGTGAGGGGGAGGGGAGGCAGCGGAGGCGGAGGAAGGGGCCGTCCGCGCGCTTCGCCCCCGGCCGCCTTGCTTCCTCGACCTCCTTGGGAACAGTCGGCAGGGCCTCGCCCTCGGCTAGCCCGTGATGGACATCCCTCCCTCGGTGTGTACCTTCGGAGTCGCTGCCCAGCGGCTCCTGCTTCTGCTGCTGAGGCTCCTCCGCCGCCATCTTTAAACAGCGCCGCACTGCCGACCGCTTCCGGGTTACCAGTYGTCCTCCCCCCGGAAGTGGGCCCCTCCTCGTGGCCCCTCCTCGGCAACGCCCCTAGCAACGAGCTCCTCGCTGCGGTTGTCAACCGATGGCGTCCAGGGCTCTAGCGGCTTCAGGCGTGCGGGCCGAGGTCCCTGTGGGAGTCGGGTCCGCCCCGCCCGCGCCTCCACCCTGCACACTTGCTTGGTTCCAAATTCCCAGCTTCCTAAAGGTCCCAGGGGTGATAAGAGCTTTCTGGAGCCAACTCTGTTTTCTGTTTCTGGAGTTCGAAACTCGGATTGAGTTGAGATAAGTAGGACAATGAAATTAAAATCACCGAAAGCAASATTCCTGCTGTGGGCTTCTGCGATTGTAGCTGCAGTGCGGAGCATCCAACGAGGAGACAGGAAGTGGTGCCAACATCGTGACGCCCCTTGGCCCCGGCCTCGTGGCACCTTGCCCCTCCCCACCGAGCCTGTACTTTAGTCGGCCGTGGTGACCTGCTTCCGACAGAGAGAACATCTCTTTGGTGTCAAGGCAAAAGCCTGGAACCTAACTTTGATCTCCGTATCCTGGTTGGGAGAAAGCAGGGTCATTTTAAAAGCAAGAAGTTATTCCAGCGTCTGTAATTCCAGTTATTTGGGATGCTGAAGCAGGAGRATCACAAGTTTGAGGCCAGCCTCAGCAACTTAACCAGGTCCTGTCTCAAAATTTAAAAAGGGCTGGGAATACAGTTCGGTGGTAGAGGGCCCCCTGGGTTCAATTCCCAGTATCGCAAAAAATAAGTGAAAGCAAGAAGTTAGACTGGGGATGTGGCTTAATGGTGGAGCACTTTCCTAGCAATGCAAAATAAAATAAAATAAATAAAACAAACCAAGGACCTAAGAGAAAAGGAAAACAATGGTTGCAAGGGGGTATGGAGGAATGCATGTGTCTGCAAAAGGGAAAGGAACCTGTGTCATACTTTGTGTCAAGGTCAATGTCCKGGGGTGTGCTTTATCATAGTTTTCTAATGTTATCTACCAGTGGGGGAGAACCAGGTAAACAGTACACAGGATCCTTTTGCACATTTTCTTAAAATTGCCTGTGAACTATTTAAAAATTTTTAAAAATTRCTATTAAATTAGAATTTAAATGGCAAAGTCATGGATTCCAATGATGCTGTTAAGAGATTAGTCTGTGGGGGCTGGAGTTGTGGCTCAGTGATAAAGCGCTTGCCTAGCATGCGTGAGGCACTGGGTTTGAGTCTCAACACTGCATATAAACAAAAATAAATAAATAAAGGTCCATTGAAAACCAAAAAAAATATTTTTTTTAAAAAAAGAGGTTGGTCTGGGGCTCTGGTTCCCATCTTCACMGTGGAGGGCCCTTTTTATGTCAGTGGTCCTTTAGCTCTCAAGAAAGCTATGCCTGAGCCACATCAGATCCCTTGGTTCATGAAAGGACAGGCATGGAATAGGCCYGAATGTTATCATTAGTTACTGCCAGCACTGGAGCAGGTGCAGCTGCTGCCTGGGTTTCCTACACAGTCCAATATTGGCTTTTTCACAGCAATAACTACAAATACCAAATCTGTAGCCCAGCACCATTACAAATGACCATTTATTGAGTCATTGGGTCTTTGGGTTGCTTCCAAATTTGAGAAAACAAAAGGTCCACCATATTTGGACCCTGTAACTATCAAACTGTTCATTCCTTCCCCCCACTTAACAATGAAATCCATAACTGTTAATGAGATCTGCGAGTAGGACAGAATGTGTATTAGTAAGTGATGGGCAAAGACAGCCTATGACAAAGACCTGATTTCTATTCAATTTGTGGGTGTGTGTGTGTTACTGGAGATTGAACCAAGGGTCTTGCATATGCTAGGCAAGTGCTCTATCACTGAGCTACATACCCAGCCCTTTTTAAATTTTTATTCTGACACAGAGTCTCGCTAAGCTGGCCTTGACCTTGGAATCCTCCAAAGTAGCTGGAATTATAGGTATACACCACCACAGCAGGCGAGCTTTGTAAAMATCTTGAAACCAACCTCCCTTTCCTGGACTAGGCAGCCCATGGTGGGGGTGAGGGGAGGCCTAACAATCAGGACAGGGAACATCTGCTCTCCCTGTATGGTTCAGTGCTGGTTAAGCCCCRGCTGCCAATACCAGATAAATGCCATGGGCTTACAAGAATAGACCTGCACCCTCAGGGTGCACAGTGGCTGCAAATTGTGGGTGCTCTCTTCCTTCTAGTGTTCAACTCTCCCCATTTTGTCAGATAGAATGGGAAGGACATGGCCAAAGGGAAGCTTTGACTCTTAATCCAGCTCCAGGAAGTCAATTTAAAAAAAAAAATGTTGATAGACCTTTGTTTATTTATTAATTTATATGTGGTGCTGAGAATCAAATCCAGTGCCTCACACATGCTAGGCAAGCGCTCTACCACTGAGCCACAACCTCAGCCCCTCCAGGTCAATTTTTATCCAGCTGTTATTTGTTCTGTTTTGTTTTATTCCTTTCTTGGCAGGGTCTCACTGTGTTACCCAGACTGGCCTCAAACTTTCAATCTTCCTGCCTCAGCCTCCCAACTAGCTGGGCTCACAGGCCCAGCCACAGCACCTGGCTTTTTTTTTTTTTTTTTTTGTACCAGGGATTGAACTCGGGGGCACTCCACCACTGAGCCACATCCCCAGCCCTTTTTTGTATTTAATTTAGAGACAAGGTCTCACTGAGTTGCTTAGTGCCTTGCTAAATTGCTGAGGCTGGCTTTGAACTCACGATCTTCCTGCTTCAGCCTCCTGAGCTGCTGGGATTACAGGTGTGAGCCACCACACCTGGCAGCACCTGGCTTTTTCTTTCTTTCTTTTTAATACTTGTTTTTTAGTTTTTTAGATGGACACATCTTTATGTGGTGCTGAGGACTGAACCAAGTGCCTCATGCATGCTAGGCGAGCGCTCTACCACTAAGCCATATCCTCAGCTCCAACACCTGGTTTTTCAATGCCCATTGATTTGGTGGTTAATAACTGATCCCTTATTCCTATTCCATCTGTCCCGTTAATTTCACCACTTTGGGATTTTGACCCTTTATCCTGAAGCATCTTAAACCCACCTCAGATATACCAGGAGTCCCTGGCAAAAGACCCAGATGTTTGTCTCTGCCTCCCAATATGCCACCACAAATGGTCATGTGCCATGGCCCTGACTGCCAAAGGCCTATAACCAAATAGGCAGCACAAGGCCATGGCTGTTCAGGCTGCTGGTTGGAATTAGTCCATGAGCCCCACATCCATGTCCGCAGGATTCTGTCAGATGCAGGGAGAGGAGGCTCCACATTGGGACCCAAGAACTATGAAACCTCAGCCACAGAGAAAGTGTACAGAACAGCTCACTCAGAGACACCCAACCCCCTTCCACCTTACAGGACAGGGGCCATGCTGAGTAGACCAAGGTAGGGATGCCATGTGCATCCTTGATAGCCACAGTCCTCACAGGAAACCACAGACAACCAAGAACCTTGACCAAAGACAAAGAACGGGCAGTCTTTCCCCAGGGGACTTGGAAGTCAGGTCCCCAGAGGACCGAGAATGGCCACTGATGGACCTACAGTGGCCCACAGACAGCTGGTCCTAAAATCATGGTCTAGGGAGACTGTCACCACTGCAGTGGCCAAGATGATGGGGCTGAGCAGGGTTCGTATTTGAGGTGCAGCAGCTGAGTGGAATGCAGGTCACCTGAGGCAGAAAGCAAGCCAAGGGTCAGAGGTGACAGGGAGAGCTTCCCAATCCCAACTCAAACCCCCATATTCCTTCTTGGGTCTTCCTGTGAATGCATAGCATTCAGTCCATTTTCTATCCCTGAAGGTAATCAGCCCAGATCCTTCAGAGGGCAGATTTATCACTTTCCTCATCGCTGCCGTAAGAAATCACCACAAACTCAGTGGCTTACAATGACACAAGTTTATTATCTTATAGTTCTGGTCTAAATTTCACCAAACTCAAATCAAGAGGCAGGGAAGCTGTTCTGTCTAGAACCTCTAAAGAAGAATCTACTACTTACACCCGCAGGTTGGCAGAATTCAGTTCCTCGAAGCTGTGGGACTGAGGTCCCCATATTCTTGCTGGCTGTAAACTGAGGGCTGTTCCCAGTTCTTAGAGGCCACTTCCTTCATTCTCCAACCAGTAAGGTCAGGCAGGATCTTTTGCAGGTCAGGACTGGTGATCACCTTGAGCCCACTCAGATGATCCAGGGTTAATCTCCATCAAGGTCCTTAACCTTAATCACATCTCCAAAATCACTTTTTTTTTTTTCTTTTTTTGGTACTGGGGAGTGAACCTGAAGGCGCTTTACTACTGAACTACATCCCCAGCCCCTTTTATTTTTTATTTTGAGACAGGGTCTCACCAAGTTGCTTAGGCCTTCACTTAATTACTAAAGCCAGTCTCAAACTTGYAATCCTCCTGCCTCAGCTTCCTGAGTCCCTGGGATCACAAGAGTGGGCCACTAAGGCTGGCAGCAAAATCACATTTGCCATGTAAGATAACCTATTCACCAATTCCAGGAAGTAGAGCTGGGACATTATTCTGTCTGCCACATCTTCACTTTGCAGTCCTGAAAACTAAAGGTCAGAGAGACTAGATGACAGGTCCAAGGTCATCTATCTGTAAATGGCTGTGCCAGGCCTCACACCTGAGTCTCCCATCTCCCAGCCCCTGATTGCAGACATGACAACTATATGGTGACCACAGTCTCCCTCTCAYAGTGTGCACACCAGGCAAACATCCAGACAGGGACACAAAATGCCACTCAGAGTATGAAGCCTTGCTTTCCCCATAAGGTATTCCTCTGGGGCCCCTGTTTTGGTTGGGGATAAGAAATCAATGAAAAGTGACTAGATTTCCAGCCTGGTGGCCACAGAAGACCAATGAGGACAGGGTTAAAGCACAGTAGGTCACCTGACCTCTAAATCCTCCATCTTGTCCTCAAACCTATCATCACTCACCCCCAGGCCCACATATGCTGGTAGAGCTGGCCCAGGGGAGAACACAGGCTCATCATGGGCCTTCCAGACCAGGGCCTGAAGGGC